GTGTATGTCTGCAATGACGTTTAATTCGCCTGTGCAAATTTCGCATAATATCTGCGTATTATTGCTCGAACGTGCGATTGCAAATGATTAAATCTTCAACGTGGAAAGAATATGGATGCGCCGATACATATGAATTCGGCTTGAATGTAAATATCGCAAAGTATGACGCAGACGATATGACTCGACTGTTCTATGCGAAAGAGAGAGGGAGAGATATCATCATCGAAACGTTTCGTTCCAGAATTACTGACTCATTGATCGCTGAATTTGTCTAAATGAATTCCGCTTGGGCGTTTCGGAGCTGCAGCCTCATGTAATCCTCGATTGAAACTAACAGACGGTATTCGAAGTATCACTGATGCTAGAATCATTGAATTGAATGCATAAGAGCGTGCTTACAAAACGCAGCTGTTACGCTGGGACGCGTTCGTTATCTTGTGTCATGAATTGTGATTGCATTATCGTGTATCAGAGATCTAACAGTTTTCGAATCTTTCGAACCGTATCTTTTTTTGCAAATATTGCCTGTAACATCTGTCACTATGTAATTTTTGTATTTTTTTAAACATCAGAATATACACATGATTTACCTTAAGTTAAAAAATAATACAGTAGCTCTAAATAGCCACGAATACGCGAGAGACATAATTTTGCTGATTGTAGCGAAACTATTGTTGCTACTGCATATTAGTTACGACAGCGATAAAATTTAACTTTGACATAACCAAATTAGCGAATTATTTGTAATCAGAAACAGTTTTATTGTTGAAATAGAAAAATTTTGCTCAGTGAATTTATTCTTAGGACACGTTAATTTGCTGTTGGAACAAAATAGTGTTTTCTTACATTTACTAATTTGAACTCAACAGCAAAATAATTTGTGGATTCGGCAAAATAATCCAGCGAATGGCGATTACTCTTAAAAAATTGTTCGCATAGCAACTTACAGATTTTACTGTGACAGCATAAAATTTGTTACGGCAGCAAATGATCTCTCTCCGTGCAGCAACTCATGCATTATTCGCGAATTAGCATTTGTTGGTATTTGTGACTTAGTTTTTCATCATACTTTTAAATCTAGAATACTCGATTGACGATTTTTCTTCGTCTTGCAGAATTCATTCCACGCGACGGTGCGTAAGACGAACGTATCGAGCGAATCGTGACCGGTTGACCCCAACGAGACACCGTTTTGTACTTATACATATCTCGCAAAATGAAGCATTCCAGGCGACTATCGATTTAGCTCGCGATCGTTAATACGTAGTAGCGTCCTTACATCTTTCGCGGCCTTAGCGTCGATTTCCGACGGCGTAAGCTACGAATAGTATAACATCGGTTTCCCACACGAGGAATCTTTCTTTAATTAATAAATGATCATCGCATTATCCCTATGAGGAAATAAATTACACACATTTCGCTGTGTCCATCGATCTTCGACTTTTTCACGTGAGATACGACGTAAAGTAGAACCACTATCCGCACGGCGACGTAGCACGGGTGTACGTAAACCGATCGCGAATATTTGTACACGCTCTGAATAATGGCTTCATTGTCATTTAAGAAACTCCCTCACATTCAGTCACTGTCAACTATGTTCGATCGATATCGGCGCAGTCACGTGTAACAACTATCCCGACATTTCCACAACGCTATTTTCCTTCGACTTCACGATAAGATGTCGTCTTTCTGGAAATTTTCACGGCAAAGACCTGCATCATCTTTCGCGATAGAATTAAAATGTCCAAAGGGAATACACGGAGCGAATTTTATAGTAAAAATTATTGGAGAATTTTATGATCAAGGAACGCATTGACATTCTCTCTCTCTCCCCCCCTCTTTCCATTTAATATCCTTCAGTTTTATGTGTGCTGCTTATACTTTAGAGGCTGAAATCTATTAAAGCATTTTTTATGTTTCCTATAAAGATAAACTCTACTAATAGAAAACAGCTGTGATAGTCTCCCCGTGTAGAGAAGCATTATAAATTGCACGAAGAGAATATTATACACTGTTGAATATCTTGCTAAAAGGAATAGCGCTTTTGATAGTAAATTTAAGAATTTTATGTTAAAATGTATAACCTTTAATAATTATTATAAAATCGGTGTTGTTAGTTATAAAATAGTTATCATGTTTCATATTTGCTATAAGAATCAAATAACAAGTATGAAATTACATATAACGTATGCAATTTAATATTCTGACATTTAATAATGCACAGCATTATTGTTAATATTTTTGTGATACAGTTACTTGTAAATCTGAGTGAAATACATCAGCTGTAATGTATTTCACTAATGTTCACTCATTAAATTTCATACTCTAAATTATTATAGTATCGTTATGAAAAATGAATTTAGGACGTTTCTTTATTATGCGTTATTAAATATGATGTCAATTTGGTTATTAAATATAATATTAATTTGATTATTAACTTTCATAACTTGGTTATGTGAAAAAACTTCACAAACAAATTATGAAATTTTTTTTAACAGTATAGTTTTCCTCCTACGAAATTCTTTTTAATTTCAACATTTTTTTACAATAATGCAGGAATATACTGTCGCTAGAATTTATTTTGCTAAGAAATATATTCAATTTTCGAATACTAGACTTTACAGTTCCTAAAATATAAATAGCACATATACAACTGAAGGATAATAAATTAAGACAGAGTGTCGATATATTCCTCGATCAAAAAATTTTACAGCAATTGTTACTACTAAAATTCCCTCCTCATATATTTCATTTCCATTCGTGTTACTGACGTTTTAATCTTTCTCCCTTATCTTTTACACACCCGAGCGCATATTCCTCTTCACGGTCTTTTTTATTGTTTTATCCTTTTATCGTTTCCTCGTATCCTTCATCAGATATATCTTCTCACAATGGTTGAATTTACTTTTCCTCAGATAGAAATTTATCTCGGTGGTGCGGTAATCTCGGTGACGCAACCTTAAGTCGAACTATCGTTAATTCTCTCTTCTCCGCCGACGATCTTCACAAAGTGATGCTGCTATTCTTAACCATAAGCCTCGCAACGAAAGTGGATCGCAAGGCGCACGGTGCGAATTAACAAGACGTTCCTTTCGATTATTCGCAGAGCGGATTATTTCGAGCGTAAGCAACGAGTAATGTTGGGAATGAGCTATGAGGATAAGTCGATCTTGATCGCGCCACACACTATGCATCCAATTAACTCCGCCGTTCTCGGCACTTTCTACACTTTCCCATAATAAGTCATTTAATACGACATACAACACAAACAAATACATAACCTCTATTTTACCCCTCCGCGCATCTCAATTCAATTATTTATTCATCAGCCGCATTTCTAAATTCGTTCTACAATTTTATTTTTTAACATAGTCACGTGCGTTATTTTTATATTTTATTTTTAAACGCGGGAGTTAGATCTAATTTTAATCCCTTCGGGGGGTGAATTTATTAAAGTCAGGAGAAGGTGATTTCTCATTTTAAGGTGACATTAATACGACACGTGTGTCAATCATCATGATGAGACGTCTTTTTTTTTGTCGCGGAATTTTCGGTCGATATTTATTCACAGTAATGTATTCGTTAGATTTTGTCGACGATGTTCAAATTGAAGAGGAAAAATTGAATGTGTCTGAACGTACACATATAATAAAATATGTGTCGGTATCCTTGAAAGTTAGCGTTAACGTTTGAAGTTTCTTTGCTCGTTAATTCTTCCGGTGGATTCGTACACGGAAAAAAAATATAATCTTGGAAGATTTTTTTAGTCTTGATTTGATTGAATTCGTATCGATGCAAGTATTACTTTTAGTTTGTACACTTAATTAAAAAAACTAAAAAGTCTCCTAAAGATATTGTAATATTCTTATATATGAAAATATCTATTATTGATTCAAGATTATGACTTTTTTTCTGCGTAAAACTAGGCCGGTTTCCAACGATCGATCGACGGATATGATTTTTTTGCCCACATGTCACGGTAATTGTACCGGGCAGACTGGTTGAGCTTTAGAGGGTAGGAAACGTGGCGCGCGAGTGAAGGCCGTTGACAAACGAAGGTTACCACTTTTACTTTTTAGCGGACGGTCACGGTTTATGCATCGTTTATCTCCGGGATCCAAAGCGCCGTCGTGTGCTCCGCGAGTGATTCATAAATCACTCGTCGTAATGCAACGCACATCGACCGCAGTTAGGTGATATCGTTCATCGGAACGTTATGTAGAAGAGGCTGCGACGTTATAAAAGGATCGCCGTGGTTTATCTTATCGACTTCTTTCACGCTTCGTTTGCGATTACGCAGAAAATCTTCGGTAACAACGCAGTTCGTTTGTTTCTCTTTTCACTCAGCCGACACACAGGTTGATGATACATGTGGAATATGTAACATTCCTACGTTTATTCCAAAAATCGACGTCATTGGTCAAAAAGTGGAGCAATTATTACTCACTCGCGCCCGTTGATTCATCATTTGGAATTCGTGAGCAGAGAACATCAAGCGTCTCTACCGCTTCGTCTCGTTAAATATTCACAAGTGCAACATCGTGCAATTATCCGCGGGAGAGAAGAAGAAAGGAAAAGAAAGAGAAAAAAAGAAACAAATGACTCTGCACACGCGACTTTATTATATAATGGTCTCGCTGATGGCGAATGCAAAGAATGTTGAAACTTTGACCGCAATTAGAGATTAGAACGCAACGTAAGTAAAAATAGCAGGCATTGCCATCTTCTGCAATTACGCGCTTGCTATAACCACCGACATGTATATATTATGCAACTATGTTGTCGCAACGGAATAATTTTTCAATTTAACAAAGTAATCTTTCAACAATCTGTTATTCTCGTTACAGCGCTCGAGCGGACCGACGACCGGATCGCGGTGAATCTTGCGGAAATTTGCTCGCGTCGTATATACGAGAGGGAAAAATGCAGAACGAATATAAGGTCGACGATAACGATATTACTTACAAGGATGTTGTAATTATAGGTAAGTATGAGTTACCTCTCGGCGTTTTCCGCGGTGCAAAGACAATTTAATCGCTTTCTCAAGGAGAGGATTAAGGAATCGATGACGACGGATTGACAACAAACGTGTTTATCAACGTCACGCTTCGCGCTGAAGAACGTCGAAGATCCATTTGTCTTCATATTTACAACTGGTTTCTCGGTCTTCTTTTTCTTACCGAATTTTTTATCACATGTTATATGTCTGATGACTCCTCCGGTAATCGTGACGGACGAATTCTTATTGCCCGCCGGGGCTCGGAATTAATCGATCGTAGGAATTCAATTTGTCATTATACTGCGTGAAAGGCGGATTTTGTGACGGAATAACAACAAATGTATTTGCCAGCATCATACATCATACATGCTGAGAACGCTGGAGACCCTCACTCGTCTCCGTATTTACAATTGGGCTCCTATTTCTTTTTATCTTTCATCGCGTATTACGCAGGATGACGCAATAACCATTACCGTCCCGAATATCTTCGACGAAAAGAAACGCGACCTTCAGATCTTCGAAACGACCGTGCTATCGCGTAATTTCCGTTGGATCAATTTTTCTCTCCTGCTCTCATATTTCAAAGATATTCAAAGTGATAACAATTATTGCCTGTATACTTAATGACTCTCTCTTATGACAGTAATCGAGACCGATGAACTTCTCTGGCTTAGCTTGGAATTCAATTTACTTGGAATGAATTGATTAGGCAGGATCTCTCAGATCTTCAGATCCCTTATTGAGGCGACATGGGGCCACACGGAAAAAAACGTAAGCAGAAAGACTTAAGCGATAAGAAAATTGTTCAATCTCACAATCTATTGTTCTCATGGTCAAAGTACAATCGACTATGATTGACCAATTTTCTTACCACTTCGGCCTTACTTCTTACGTTTTCTTCCGTATGCCCTTACCGTGTATCGTAAGAGACACGGGGAGAGCGTATCGATCGAAAAAAGGTAAAGTTACCCGGTAAAGAACCGGATCTTAAGTGTCTTGCGGGTCCTCAGGAAACGGGCCCAGCGGGATATGCTTGTCGTACATGCTCGCCGGCAACTGGCCTTACTACACCGGCGAACCCCATCCCGGTGACGACATGCTCACGGCGCGGCTGCACTTCAACGCGACGGACGTCAGCGAGGATGAGGCCGAGGAAGAGGACGCGAACGCCAATAACCGGCACCAATGCTGTAAGACCGGCGTCGTCAGGGCGACGCAGGAGGGTGGGCTGGCGCGCAGCACGCGCAACAAGCTGGAATGCCTGTCTTCCGGCATCGAGGGTAGGGGCGGCGGGCGACCTTTGGCCCTCCTGATGGACCAACTGCAGCACCCGTGCGTGGACGCCGGCTTGGACGTGCCGTCGCTCCTCGAATGGAGATCCGCTGGCGAGTGTCCCGAGCACAGAATTGTGGACCATGTTGTCCTTGGCAAAGGCCAGCCCGGCGGCGCCTGGCAGGTACGCGCGACGCGATTTCTCTCTCTCTCCCCCTCCCCCCTCTGTCTGTCTCTGTTTTCTGTTTCGAGCAAGGTGTGCGTGAGAGATGCCGCAGGTAGGCGCGTAAACGTGAAATTCTCTGAGATAAAAATGAGACCCGATAATAAGTAGGTAAAGACGGTGAAGATGAATCCAGCAGACGCCAACAGTAATATAACATCGATGTTATAATTTCTCATTCAACGATGTAACTGTTATATAACACATTATATCTCATATTAAATCGTTGAGTGGGAAATTATAATATTGATGTTACGTTAATTGGTATTTGCTCGGAAATTACTAGCGGAGTGCGAAATATGATAAATGGAGATAAATGGAGAAACGGCCATGCCGAAGTCGATGTTTAAATAACGAAAGATAACATACGAAGGCTCTGTTTGTATACAAACAGTAAGAACGACGGGCTAATAAAGTTTACGGTCAATTAAGTAATGAGCTAAGTTATATCGTCGGACAATTTCATCTGCCCGCTGAAATTTCAAGTTTCGCACCCAACATCCAGCGACGATTCTTATTAGCTCATTGTTTTCTTATTGTCCGTAATATTTAACCATGAATCCTGATAGTAACATGTTAAGCCTACGAGACTTACATACCTTTCTTTTGCTTGTCCTATCTTCCACATGTTGCGCAATACGCTATACTTCCACTCTGATCCCTCCGTTATTCAAAAAAAAAAATGGAGTCCATGTGACCATTGCTATTATCAGTTTGATTTCTAACGAGATAACTCTAATCTCTAAAGAGACGACAATTAAAAATTGATAACAAACTTAAGTTGATCAACCAAAGAAATGCTGGAACGATTACGACCTACAGTTTTTGAATGTTTTTTTCATGATGCAGGCCCGAAAAACCTATGATGTTACTTCAGCGTCAAGATCGTGGGTCACTGTTACTGTCAGGGTTCAAAATTTGTATCATGCGTAAGCGACGAAGAGATACACGAATTACAACGGGTGTTAGCTGATAAATGTGCTTGTCGTGAATTTAACCGTATCCCGTCTTGCTTCTAGTCGATGGACCCCAACGTGTTGACCATCAGTCTAAGCCGATGGATGTCCCTACCCGACTTGGATCTAAGGCACTGGGAGAAACTCGTCGAGGCCGAGCAATTACAGAAGTCGGTGTTAGCGGAGAGCGACGTGTGCGCGTACATGCGGCAGGAAAAACTGAACGTCTGTAAAACGGCCAGTCGAGTTTCCGTGGGCACCGTAGCCGCTTATTACAAGGACTATGTGCGCAGGAAAGGCCTGAAGCAATACTTCCGATGGTACGTATATTAAAACCGTACCCAACGGCGAGCCCAGTTATCGGCGTCAATGTGGACTTTCACGAGGCAATCTGTTGCAGCGGGACTACAGTTACTTCGATAAGATCGAATTCGGACTCGCCCGAGAACAAAAGGGGATACAATTGGATCGTGGACGGATACGAGAACAAGAGCGGGAAGCGATTTCGATATCGGTGCAAGAGGGCGGTCCTCGCGACCGGCACGACCGACTTGTCGAATCAGCTGGGTGTCTTGGGGGAGAAGACCCACGATTGGGTGACACACGACCTCAACGATCTCGAGACTCGCTTGGAACATTTGTTCGACGAATATGGTACGTGGATGCGCTCGGCTACATTATAACACACATCTATCGCGAAGAGAGAAAGTCCGACTCCGGCAATTCTTCTAGTAATTTAAGCTTTCCTTCCCTGAAATCAATTATCTGATCGATATCTCACATTTCGGGCGACTTGGTTACCGATATGAATGCTCTACTTCACAGTCAAGTGTACGTAACTTTCTCGACTTCCGTTCAACGCAGTTAATTTTATGCGCAATTAATAAGAAAATAAATAAATAAAACATTCAATCTTGCGCGTTCTCAGAAAGCATTCCACAGTATATTTAACAAATGCATTTATCCATCTATCCAATCTATATCTCAATCGAATAGCTAATTCGCGAATCGCGTGACGTCTGTTTTCGTCTCTTATCGCTGTGAAATCGCTAATTGCAGGCGAGAATACCGTCGATGAACAGGATCATCCCGTGTTAGTGGTGGGAGCCGGCCTGAGCGCGGCCGACGCTATCATGGCCGCGCGCTTTCGCGGCATACCCGTGGTGCACGCATTCCGCAACTCGACGAGCGAGTGGGGTAAGGAGACCGCGGTTAAGATAAATAGCAGTTACGACCGACTGCAGTGGCTACCCAGTTCCATATATCCGGAGTACCACAAAGTATACGAGATGATGGCCGACGGAGGCACGAATTATCCCCTGTACAAGTCGCTGCCGGGATATATGCTCGTGAGTCTCGATGAGGATGACGATGACGAAGGCATCAGTGTAAATCCCAGGAGATTGGCCACTCTGTCCGCCCCGGATGGGCAGCTGCACACGTTCCAGGTGTCGGCCGCGGCTATTCTTATCGGTGAGCTTTGTATGAATATTTATTTCACCACCAAGTTAAAGTCAAGTTAATCCCTTCAGGGATGCTGACACGTATATGTGTACGTTTGGGATGTACGTTCAATTTTTACTACGTTCAATCACACATTGATCTTGATTGATCGATCCGAGGTTTTGATTCATCGGTTGAACGTTCTCGTTCCAGGATACAAGCCTGATTTGTCGTACCTGGAAGGCGACGGTATTAGACTGGGTACAATTGCGGACCGGCCGATCGACAACAAATCGAATCCGATTGAGATCGACGATATCACATACGAGGTGATCAAGGCGCCGATGAAGGGACTGTACGCGTTGGGGCCGCTGGTCGGCGACAACTTCGTCCGCTTCGTTCTGGGTGGTGCTTTCGGAATTCTGGCGCACATCTTGTGCACCACGAACACGTGAGGGATATGACAGCCGTTCGCGCGATCGTGTCTTAGCAAAATTATATTATACATATACACAGAGGCGTTGTGACACGTGGCAACTCTGTGCAACCTGTCACAAGTGCCTCCGAGCTGTCACGTCACAACGTATCGAGACAATGAGGACGGTGTGACTTTTACTGCTCAATTCACGTGGGTGCTGACAGACTACCATTTTAGCTCTTAACACTGATCGCTCGGTAAATCTGTTTGTATATACTGTTGAAGTTATTTTTATATTCCTTTTCTCACATNGAGAGAGAGAGAGAGAGAGAGAGAGAGAGAGAGAGAGAGAGAACGATGGACGTGTTAACTTTCACGAAGAATCATAATGTATGGCGGCCGATATATAACGTTGATTCATCGATATGCCCGTTGTTATTGAAACAATGCGTAGTAGTAACAACAAAAGACGTTAAAACAGGCATGAGGAATTGGATAAAGCTTCCGTTTAAGAGAGGCACCTCCAATGATTTTATCCTACATTCATATATTATAGAGATCATCCTTCTTTAGGACAAGATCACTGGTGCTTCCCCTAAATGGGATTTTTTAGCCGGAACAGTGGTCCGATCATACACACAGCGACCAATGATCCGGTGTGACTGCAGTCGACGTTCACGGCCGAGCGAGCGTTGTCTACACGAGAATCATAAGCCATACCGGAAAAGTTAAGTGTACATAACCACTCGGTTGAATTTCGTCGAAATTTCCCTTGATGAAGGGAAAAGATCGACGAGATCGTTAATATGTTTGCTCATAGCGATAACGTGCGATAAGGTGAAGGATGACAATTCAATATGATACTTCTCGATGCGATTTATTCGCGCTTAACAACATTCCATTCGTCGAACAGATTGCGCAAAAGAGATCGTTAGCAACAGTACAGTTTGCGTAATATAATATTGTTTGATAAATATTATCGACAAATTTGCATTTGTCACGATTAACGAGTCCTTGATATACGAGTACGTACTTTATACTGAAGTACCACTCTTTGTAGAGTGTAGAGTAAAGAAACCGGTGGAAACCGGTGGAAGTATAGTTTGTATCGTGACGAGTGTCGTAAGAAAGAAATGTCAGCCACTTACGATTGCTCGAACGATGCAACGAAACATGCGATATAAATTCGGGCGTTACTCAGTGCGTTTATGATTGATCGGTAGTTGCTTCTTTAAAATAACGTTGAACGTGCGCTTTCTTAGGTACGTCTACTTATATATATATATAATATATATATTCTTAGGTACGTCTACTTATATATATATATATATAAGTATACGTAGTTATATATATATATATAAACTATATATATATATGGATCAGGAATGCTTTTGTAATCGTTTTCATTCTCGCGTTATCGTATTCATTCTTTCGGAGCAATCGGGTTGCATCACAATTGTGCATTGCTTTGAACGCACAAATATTTTCACACACGTGCGAGTGAACTTGAATATCCATGTTACTCTTTCCGCAAGGAATCGCGTGCGCAAGTGAGAGAGCATACCCCACGAAGTGATTATTGTGTGTTGATTTTGACACGGAATCTTCGATCCATCGTGATATACCTCTGCATCTCTTTATTAATAAGCTGTGATTACTTTAATGCCATAGGCTAGTAACGCTCTTTTATTGACGTAAACTATACAATAATGCCTTTTTAGTACAAAACGTTTTGGCGTTTAATTCCCGTTTTATTCCTGGGAAAAAATTCTTATATATAATTATATATATAGAATATTCCATGTATTTTATATATATGTCCCAAACTAATCTCAGTTCCTCTGATGTGCAAATAGAATGGGTGAAACTGAGCAGAAAAGTCATGTACCATTTTGCAAAATTCGCAATAGTTAGTGAGAAATTAATTATTTTGTCTGAACAAATAAACATTTTTCAAGAGATTGCGACTTTTTCCAAGTATTATGCCAACGACAAAACAACGTATTTAAATGTCTATTTTAATCTATTCATTAAACGATTAATCTGATAAGAATATTTAATGATGTGTGAATGTGGCATTAATCGTTTAAATTAATGTTAATATTGCTTCGCAATTCACAATTTTAACACATAAACGGGAAAGGATAGACCGGGAATTGTATAAAGAAAAATGACTTTCTTGTGAAGATAGCACTCGTTAGTGATAGATCTCACTAACTATTGCGAATATCGCAAAACGATATAGGACTTTTGTGTTTACTTCAATCCGTTCTATACTCCCATGAACTTTGATAAGGTTGCTCTGGGACACATTGTATATATATATATATATTATTATATATTTACATATATAATTCGTTATATGTATTTATATATAATGATATATAACTGTCACCACTTCCTATATATAATTATATACAATTATATATATATATATATATGAAAAATTTTTTTCCGGGCAAATTAATGAATTTGACATTTATTTACATTTAATTTACAAGCGGCGCAACTTCATCGTTTATAATTTATACAATTTACAATACGCAATGCGTATAAATAAACAAAAGAATATCAATACTTTACAGATCATATATATTATATGATATGTATTGATATATGTTATATATATGTATGATATATATGTATATAACAAGTTCATTCTGCTTCTAAAGATACATTAGGAGGAAAAGAAACGTGCTTTTCGTATCTTTATTATATTTTAAACAAATTTTCACGTTGATATTTGATGATATTTTATGGAAAAACGAGAAATGTTTCTTTGTTATATTAGACTTACAAATTATGTAGATTCATACCATAATACGTACTGTAACAGGAAGCCTAATGTATTTAGATATAATGTCACAACAAATAATATAATAATAGCGGTAATATTGAGTATAGTATTTAGTAAATGCTATAAGTATTTATAGTATACGTGAGGAATCAAGTAAATATTGTAATATATTGATTTATAGCACAGTGACATATGTGTGAGGTTTTTAGAAGTTTTACTGATACAAAAATTGACACACACACACACACATCGATATTAATTAAATAATGATAGCGACAATGCGTATGTGTGAACACAAAAATACATAACACACAATCTGTGATAGAGGAGGTGCAATGTTCAAGAAGTTGGTTATAAAGTGCAATGAAATATAGCGAAGAATAAATAAATCAAATCTTGAATATATTGTATAGTAGTAAATATATATATATCACCCAACTAATAAACCAACTATACTATAAGTAAAAGTGGACTTATTAGACGTCGCAAATGTATGATGTACATATTGCGATGATTACGGTAAGAAAGGGGTTTATATGTACGGAAAAAATAAGCAACACATATCCTATTGCCACTTCACTTTTTTATTCTCGCGTAATGATTTCATTCAATAATCGAATGATCGGCCAAGGGGACGTTTTTTAATATACGGCTATAAAATCCATGTTTGCGATATTTCCAAAATCGTCGTGATCACATTTAAATAAAAATAATTTATATATTANTATATATATATATATATATATATATATGTATATACGGTATAAGTTCAGGTAAATAAATTATTCTATTAATTTATACAAATCTATATACAACATATGCAAATTTGTGTTTGTCGTGTAATATACATTATAAGAATCCAAACGCGCTTGGCGCATTTTGAAACAAATTTGCACGCGTTGCAATATTAGAAGTTATGTGTTAAAATTGTGAATTACGAAGCAATATTAACATCAATTAAAACGATTAATGCCACATTCACACATCATTAAATATTCTTATCAGATTAATCGTTCAATGAATAGATTAAAATAGACATTTAAATACGTTGTTTCGTCGTTGGCGTAACACTTGGAAAAAGTCGCAGTCTTGAAAAATAGCTTTCCCATCATTGCAACAGGTTCTATAGAGATGTTTCATTTTACGGAACACGATGATATTTGCACCCACAGGCACGTTATATCAATATTCTTCCACATAAATTTTAATTGTGAATACTTATCTCTCTACGTCTTAAATATGATTAATAGAAAACTAAGCAATATAACAGCAGCCGCGAGAATCACAATGCAGTACAGCTTCCTGTTAGCCTTCTGATACGAATCGGCTTTCTTCAACTGTTTGTAGCCTTCCTGCACTTGCACTTGTGTTTGCTCGATGTTATAATCGATCCGGTCTAAAACAGTACCTTGATCCTCCACCATTACTGCAAGATCCTATTTGAGAAAAAACAATTATTCAAAATTGTACGTCTTATCATCTTGCCATCATCCAGCAATTAACAAAAAAACTGTAAGTATCAAGACAAAAATAAGAAAATACACACGTGCGATTTTACTTGTTGCCTATCAATGGCTAAGAAATGATCTTTTATATATGCAAAATTTGCGAGGAGCCCCAATATGTATGAAGAGCTTTCAAGAGAAACGGTATTTTGAATATTCACTTTGCTCTGGACGAACGAAATTTTTCGGGATTCTTTAGTTTTTTTTTACATTTTAAATAAAAGCGTAAAACGTTTTTAAGAAACGGAAGTTGTGGGGGGGGGGGGGAGTTCGTGCGGTTTTTTAAGTAAAATTCAAAGACCTTTCTCATACAATCATGCGATGCGAGATAATGTTGTGCATAACGTACCTTGAAAATATATTTTAAGTCTGCTATACTTTGAACTATACTGCCAATCTGTTCCTCCCTTTCCAACGCTAATCTCATCCTGTCCTCAGGTTCCTCCAGTTGCAACAGAACCGACTCCTGCCTCCGCTCGTCCCTCGGCCAGTATTCGGCGGCAGCCTCGTTCGATTCCGCCAACCAGGGGTCTGCAGCCACACTCTCTAAGAGAGACTGGTCTTCCGCGAAGAACTGGCTGTTCCTCTCTTCCCTCGACTTCACCTCTGCAAGAGTATCACACACGTGTCATGCGGCAGTTAAGCATTGACGTTGCATCAAGATGTCATTAACTAGGTTCTGCGTTAATCCTTTGAGCGCTACAGATGCATATGCGCGTCTGACCAATTTCTTCGGCTTATGCTCTAGATGTGAGCGTAACTGTCGCAACGGGCACTTTCATATTCATCTTCTTTCATGTACTTGACAACGGTAAAGTAAACAAGACTACAAACAAAAATTTTCGAAGACAAGACTTCGTGTGCCTCGACCCGTCACTTTTCGCTTTCTCGAGGAATTATTTCTCTCGTCGATCGACGACGTGTTAAAAATATCCCATCCTCGGCGATTGCTTGGCTCTGAAGTGCTCGAAGGGGTCAGCGTGATACGAAATACGTACGTGTTAAATAATGATTCTGTGCTGTCCTATATCGAAGACCTAATTCTTGTAAGGCAGTTGAAAGGGCTATCACTGCACTGGCAGCCAGTCGACGTCCCGCTGGTTTGGTCTCGTGTCTACCGGCCGACTTGATCGTTTGTACTTGCCTGTAGCCGTTGGAGAAGCCACGACTGATCTCCCGCGTAAGTTGCTCCATTTGTCTCTCTTCCTGCGGCACATTGTGACGTATTTCCCGAATCCTTTCAACTACTCTCAATTACACTTAGTAGACAATTGCACTTAGTAATTAGTACATTCATTTTTCCCCGACGAAGCATAACGAGATGAGGATTCTTCTCGGATTAACATTATTTGTCATTTGGCAACTGACTGCCGTCGTTTAATAATCCCGGTGACTCGCATACCTGAGACGTGTCGTCCAAAGTCGGCCTGGTGAGCTGCTTGGAGTGCAGCTCGACCAGGCTGTCTATCTTCACGCGTAGTCTGCTCAGGACGTACTGCGTCTCCTCCAAGGCGTCCGTCCAAGCAGGCGGCGCTCCGCTGTCCGTGTTTATGCCCTTCAGCTCGACGCTGTCGGAATCGCCGGAGTCCGATTCCACCAACGCCACGCGATCGGTGATGTTCTTAAAGATGAAACGGTCAATTACTTCCACTTCTTGTGAGAGAAAAAAATCGCACAATGCTACGGCCAGTGGCGGCGTTGAATCGGTGGGCGTAGGTTAAGTGTGTGCACGCACCTGTTCGGCATAGATGTGTTTGGTCTGAAGAGCATTGTTTCGCATCAGGACAAACGGATCGGTCAGATTCCTCGTGGCCATTCTTCAGCCGGTCGTTTCTTCTATCGAGCACGTGAACACAGTACTATTCATGATCGTTTCATCGTGGGCCGCGTCGTTGCAACGCACTGACTCAGCTGTCATCTCCGAACAGCTGATCGCAACACTCGCTCCCACTTGTCTGCACTTGTTTGCACTCCTTACACTTTGTGTTTTAAACAGATGGAATTCGATCGCGTGAAAGAACGAAAATATACAGCCGTGTTATGGAAAATTAGTAGTTACAGTATGAATGTACATCGTACAAGGAGAGAGAGAGAGGAGTTTGTAATACTTGAAAAGTAGTGTATATAATTCGACCACAGATCGCAGAGGGACTTGGATTTTTAAATGGTACAACTTATATACAGTGGATCGAATGGATCTTTATTTTTCAGACATGACTAAAACAGCATTGTAATGTGCTGCAATATTTTGCATCGATAAAATACGATGAACGTCTTAACAACTGTTCAAGAATAACGGATATTAAAATATGTACAGATCTAAAATATAAAACGTCTTCGTGCATATCACATATAATTAAATCTAATATATTTACACAAGGGGCTATTATATATACCCAGTAAGCGATCTGTTAGCAGTCTGACGACAGATTGGCGACAGATTCGAACAAGATCTGTCGACAGAGCCTGCTGATAGACAGCAAATTAGCGACAAGGAAGCGAGCAGGATCTGTAATATTTCCATTTAAATACATTGACAACTCAGATCCTACTCAGTTTCTGCCATCGGTCTATCATCATAATCTTCCATCAGATCCTGCTGCATTTCTGCTAGCAAACTGTTGACAGAGTCTGCAGCAGACACTGCGCAAAATCTGCTTTTGCAGATTCAGCTGTGTCTGGATAGAAGTCGTTTTATGTATCTATAAAAAAAAAAAGAAGCAATCTAAAGATTAGTTTTGTCGCTTCTTTTTTAATTTAATGCACAATATTAAATGCCTGACTTATAATTTGTCACCCAGTGAACACCAACTGACAATAACATAATAATATAAATGCAATATAACGTGTGTGTTATGTCAACAGTTATGTCGTTGAGCGGGAAATTATAACACTGATGTTATGTTACCGTTGATTGGTGTTTACTGGTCAAATTAATACTTGAATAATAATTACACTGTTGCCTCGGCAATCACACTTGATTTGGAAACCGAAATTTGGAGGCACTGCGTGCGAACTTAAGAAAAATCCTCCTTGTACAAAGCTTCTTCACATATATATAAAATAAAACAGTAGTTACAAATACATGTATGTTTATCAGAGTTCTCAACGTTAAGCGGCACAATTCTATCCAGTTTTATTCACTTATATCGTTCAATTTCAATTCATCTTGCCTTGAGTCTCGATTATCAAGGGCCTAGTGCTGTAAAGATTACTCAATATCACTTGTCTCTTGATCGTTTCCAGTGTCTCCTGTCCCTTTGCATAACATTGCCTAACCTCTTCCTCATCCTGCAATGTTTTATTCTCTTTGAATTCGTGCCGTATCTTTCGCAGAGCGTACATCCTGAAAAATACAAAATAACTATGCACCGGCTGATGCTGCCACACGAGTATCACGAAAATCTAACAGATGTATTACGATTCGTATCGTAATCGCACGAGAAACAAAAGTCACTCTATATTTATAACACAAAGTTGCATAACGCTGCGAGAATATACCGCAGCGATAACGTATTTTAACAATCATTTTCATCAAAGGGAAAGAGCGATACATTTTTCTCCCGAAATATTTCGAATGTTACAAACGAATTTGTCGGGGGAATCATCTCACCACAAATCGTTTAATACGATAGTTCTTGATCAAACGATACCGTGTTTGTACCGATTGTTTACCTGTAATTATACGAGCTCCATTTTTTGCTTTCTCGAATCAAGTTCCGATAAAGATACAGAATCATATTTCGGCTGGGATTCATTATTTACAAAGGGCGATTCACCGCTGAACTAATCGGGACTGTCGGCGAATACGTTGCACGTGCACGCTCGATCACAGAGAGACGTAATCCTAAGGTCTGTTCTGCCTAACTGGGTTAGGTTGCACTTTCTTACTTTCGAGTGAAATAAGCATACGGCCGTGTCATTGGAGAGAAAAGGAACAACATTCCAGTGCAGTATTGGTGCATGTAAAAGGTCGTTTTACACTTCTTAACTGCACTGAATGTGCACTAGAACCGACGTAGGATACATATTTTACGTGTATAACCTTTTCGTACGTTATATACGAGCATATTAAGTTTTCCTTTTTATCCAATACATGTGAATATCTTAAAATAATTTATATTTAACTTAACTGTGCATATATCGGAGAGTAGAGAAAAATATAAAATTCTCTCCCACAGATATCTTTCTTGCTGTTTGTACCATGCGTGTGCGTGCATAAAGATTTAACTTGAGAAACCTCGAAATCGCTGGAGAAGTAAGAAGAAAACGAACCCTCAATAATGTGGTACGTAATTCCCGAGCTTGCATACATGGTTCATTCGTCAGAAAAGATTCTTCATTTACTTTTTACTTATTTCTTTATTTAACGCATCATAGGTGCACTAGATATGCTCACTTTTGCAAGGAAACCTTAAGAACGTGCAGAACAGCGTCTAGCGTCGCCAATGTTAATAAAAACATCAACGAGCTGGTGCTGCTCGGTCAGAAATATGTAACGGACGATTGGACAAACATTACTCCAAATGTCATCAGCAAGTTAGGGAGAAATTTGCACGTTAAGCAATACCATCCGCTCTGGCTCTTACGCCAGCGTATCGTGGACTACTTTTACAAACAATTCCCCGGCAAGAGCGGAACACCGGCGTTCAGCATCCACGACAACATATGTCCTGTGGTCACAACTTCTCAGAATTTCGATTCTCTTCTCGTGCCGAAAGATCATCCGAGTAGGAGGAAGAGCGACTGTTACTTCGTGAATCAAGACACACTGCTGAGGGCACACGCGACTGCTCACCAGGCAGAATTAATTTCAATGGGTCTGAACAACTTCCTCGTTATCGGGGATGTATATCGGCGGGACGAGGTCGACAGCACCCATTACCCGGTTTTCCATCAGGTTGACGCGGTCAGATTATGCACGTTGCAGGAGATATTTCACGATGTAAACGATCCCGCTGGTTTAAAGTTGTTTGAGCACTCGGGGACGGAGACCGCTGATAAGCAAGGCTGTCATACCTTAGAGGCGGTGAAGATGATGGAGCAGGAACTAAAAAGCACTTTAATCGGTTTGGCGCAAACTGTCTTTGGAAAAGGTATAGCTATTACCGATTTGGAATATTTTACTGGAAATATAATGAAAATTTGCTGGAATATACACGAAAATCTCCCACAATTTATCTCATTTCATCGATATTTCGGTAAAAAAATTACTAATAATCGATATTTCAGCAATTTTTCCTAAAAAATCACATAGTTCTCAGTTATAACCAGTAACTTTTACGATACCTAATATTTCAACATTTTTTCATTACCTTTCATTCATTGATATACTCTAACCTTCCTAATATTTCACAGTATTATATTTCATTTCACAAGGAATATTACCATTCATTTTTATATATATCCAATAATTTTTCGATAACTTTTATTTCGCTTTTCATTGATTTCAATAGTACCTTCAGCGAAATATTTCCGTCAGGGACATCATCCTTAATTTGATATATCTTTGGTAACGATATGAGATCATCTTTCGATCTAATCTAAAATCAAAATTTGCAAAACATTTTTACACATTTTCACCGGAATAAGTCGAAATTTTGATTTAACGATGCTTCACATTGATAGACGTGCAATGCCGATGGGTTGATCAGTACTTTCCATTCACCCATCCGTCCTGGGAGCTGGAAATACTGTTCAACGACAAATGGCTCGAGATTGTGGGCTGCGGCGTCATGCGCCAAGAGATCCTGCAGAAATCCGGCGCCGTCGATCGGATCGGATGGGCGTTCGGTCTTGGATTGGAGCGCCTGGCCATGCGCTTGTACAGCATACCGAACATACGGTTGTTTTGGAGCGAAGACATCAGCTTTCTAAATCAGTTTAAAGTAGACGATCATAACGCGCATATACAGTACAAGGTGAGATAAATAATTTCGGATATAACGTTACAACAATAATGTATCGATATCATCTCACTTAACCATGTGAATGCAATGTACATACGTATATTACATATTCGTTTTGAATTTATATTGCATTTACACTGCAAAAATTACAACATATATAGTATTAAACATATATAAGTGCGATGTAACTAATGCTCAGCGTTTATTGGGTATCGAGCAAATAATTGGATCGTTTAAATGTGACGTTTCAGCCTATAAGTATATATCCTCCTTGCACAAACGACATAAGCTTCTGGTTGCCGGAGGACGGAAGCTATTTTCCCAACGACTTCTACGACTTAGTTCGGGAGATAGGCGGCGATATGGTCGATCAAATCATTCTGAAGGACGAGTATGTTCATCCGCAGACGAAGAGAATGTCTCATTGTTACAGTATAGTGTACAGACACATGGAACGCACTTTGACTCAGAGAGAAGTCGGCGAGGTTCATCGTAAAGTGGCAAGAGTAACGGATGCTAAACTTAATGTGACCGTTAGGATTCAGAAATAAAAACGCTTGTCTAACAAAAACTGAGTGTTTATTTTAGAGAGTAAGTTCCACGAGCTACTTATTTCGTAAACGGCGCGACATCAGCCGCTCTCGAGCCGCTATTTAACGAAGTATGTTAATATACATATAGAGCGACGCGACCGTCGTGCGGCCACAGCACGAACATCAGAGAAATCGGGAGAAAAGGAATATATTATTTTTATTTGCGAATAAATTAATCACAAACGCGTTACATCAGCAAACAATAGTATTCTAAAAACAGCTATTATTATTTGCGATACGCCTCATTCATATTAGAGGTAACAACGATTACAGTTTACATGTTCTACATGCTTGCATTATATACATGAATATAAAACACATTACGTAATCTGGTATTGATGGTTTACGCGCGAGTACATATACTTAATGATGATGAAGTAAGAGAATCTAGAAACTTTCGAAGGATACGGAAATAAACGTCTCGAACAGAGCTCCGGAATAAATTTCACTATACAATAGCGTTAGTGCAAGAATTGCCGTTTATACTTAGTTCACAAAAATCACAGTTTCATTTCTGACACTCAAATCCTATTCCTCAACCGTATTATCGGTTCAACAATTTTCTTTCCTTTTTTTTCCTTTTTTTCTTTTTCTTTTTAAGTAAAATGCATTAGTCTCTCGTTAGAAATAAAGATTACTTGTCCCTTAATACGCTGGGATACGCTTGAAGATTTATTCGATATATGAGAAATACTGTTGTGTGTGTTGTGCTCTCAGTTAGAACATTTCTAATTAGTATTTTGAGAACGAACGATAAGCATCGAACTTATGTAAATGCCGTGATACGTGCATACAAACGCACCAAAATGGAAGATTCGAGTTTGACGTTACGTTCATAAATAAATTAACAATATATAAACAAAAAGAAAAAAAATATATATATATATAAAGAGAAAAAATCAGATAGAAAAAGTCATGTATTTTTTCCTTTCACCTGAAGCCAGGATGTGTGGTGTAGATAAGATATAGATAAGCCTTGCAGGAAGTATTAACATTATACGAAGTATCGTGAGAGTTGGTTTCGCATCGTAAAATCCAATCCGTATCTCAACGAAGTCACCCAGTGCGCAGTATAATACAGGAGATTTGGAAACTTTACCGGCTCTTGTTTCGCAGCGTAGGCATTCCCTGTTACATTAGTCCTCGATAGAATCGTTACAAAAATAGTTGGTTGATATAAAACGGTGCATATAATTTATCTTATTTCGCTACGAACGAACTGAGTAATATTAGTTGGATTGGATTGGAAAACGAAAAGAGAAAGAAAAAACTTCTGTATACACTTCCCTCTATATCGCTGATACATTACGCTGATGTTTTGCCCTCTCTTCTGTCTATGTCTGTACGCAGATGGCAGATGACGCGTTTGCGCGTGATTTAGGATAATTTTGTGTAACTAGGAGGCGAAAACTTCTTCCTCAAGAACTTCAAGATATACAGCGGCATGCACGAGACTAACGTTATCACCAGTACCTTCCACAAGAAGTCCGTTGTTTTGATGAATTCAGCATCTGCGTTAAAAACAAGAATGAAAAGACCGTGCGAGAATATCGCATGCTCGATGATCCCTTTCGTTATTGCGAACTCGTCGAGCTTACCGAAGTAATCCTTGAGAACGACCAACGACAATAAATAAAGCGCCAAAGAGAAGATTTCAGCGAGCATCATTATATGATGCCAGGTTCTGATCGTTAAAGCAACCATTATCAGCTCCGTTAAAACAAGCGCCGAAAAACTGATGGCCACTATATGAATAAATTCGTCCTCGAACATTATAAGTGCACCATACATTATTACCCCTCCTGTGACAGAGCCGTTATAAGATATGCGATATATTTGATAGGCACACGTGATTTAACAAGATACTCACCTTGATATATGCTTATCAAAACCCACATAAAAAATGTTTTATATGACAACGAACGACCTTTGCTCAGCTCTTTGTAGAGCTCGGGGTAAGTGAGCGCGATTTTTCCTGACACGTCCTTGTCCAGTACCAACGAAAAGACGGGGAACATTGTATATATTGTAGCGTACCTAAATATTGTTTAATGCACGATCAATTTATGCATATTGAGATATTTAGGCAGTTATTCCTCAAGAAAGAACCACAGGACACCGATAATACAAAGAAGTGTAATGAAAAACATATTGAATATCAGTAAATTTATACCACTTACCCTACCATGAGGAAACCCTGATACAAGGCAACCGAAGACAAATAAAAGACCGCAGAAAATACCGCCTGCATGGTCGAAATGATCAGACCACGGTGTATGACGAACTGGCTTAATGCAGCCGATCGTTTGTAACTTCTTCTGCCGTGAACCAGCAGTAAATTAGCGAGATGACTAAACTGAGAGATTGAGAAATCCGCAGCCAGCGATGCTTGCCTTCCCTCTAGACCTTCCAGACCAATTCCTGACGGCAGCCATGTGAAAATTGTAAGTCACGATAACGCAATTCAATTATTTTCATTGAATGATTTAACTGGGTGTACATATATAACTTCGGGGATCTGCACACAAATAAAAATAATTTTTAAATTTCGGAAAAAAACACCATTTTTTCCTCCATTTCTTCGCGTTGATATACTTTTTCTTACCTTCTTCTACGGGGAAAAAGAAAGTTAATGCGGCAAGTTTCAACCGAACATTCGTGAATTTGTCTAAACTAATTATTTTTGCATCTCCGAGACGGAAATCGAGGAAGTCCGGGGGGGGGGGAGGGGGACGGGTTTTCTCCCGAAACTTGAAAACTATGTAAATAAATTAGATTGCGTGAAAGAGAGAGATGCGTACCAGCGTCCGCAGCTTGTATCATAGAGACGTCGTTGCCACCATCGCCGACGGCCGCTGTTCTCTTGCCGGTATGTCTCTGTATGAGACTGACGACTTCGGCCTTTTGCGTGGGAGAGCATCGGCAACAGACGACCGCGGGCGAGCCGCATGCGAGCTCCAGGAATTCCTGCTCGTAGTACTGCAAGCACACCTCCAGGGAATCACCGCTGATAACTAAGGCACAATCTTGCTTCTTGCGGAACGTATTCAGTTCCAAGTGGGCGTCGGTGCGCGTCACAACGGACTTGAAAACATGTAGCCCTTGAGTGCGCGAGACCAACCGCGAGGATTTCGCTATACACGTCGCGGTCTCCAGCTTGTCGCCGGTCAACATCCATATCTTTATCCCGGCGTTCCTCAAGAGCTCCAACGTAGGCCTCACTCTATCTTGCAGTCTGTCCTCGACACCGGTCACACATAGCAGCTCCATTTCTCTCTCGAGGCTCTCGACTACTGCGGCGACCCTCGACACGCGGTCGCTGACGCTCATTCGCGCCGCGTTGTACCTATAATTGCGACAATTTTTTGTTTAATACATAACACTTCGATGTATATTCATCACGGTAAATTTATCTAAGATAAATATCTAAGCAGATATGGAGAGCGGATGCACTGAAAACCAGCGAAGAGCAAAATTTGAATTTTGTGGGAAACAAGTCGCATGATGCGTAGAATCTACAATTTATCTTAAATTCAGTCTTAGGCATATATTCAGAAAAAATCTTCATACGTAAAGCAAAAATTAAATTTTGATTTTTTTTTTCAAACGTATTTAATAAAGTAAAATATAAAGCAATACTTGAGTACAGTTCAGCTACGTTGATGTTGGGATATCTTCTCCTCAAATAAACACAAATCTTAGAAATAAAATTAAAAAAAAAAAAACATTTAAATGATAGGCTTTTCCGTTTCATCAATTTCTCAAGAATAATATTCAAAAAATAAAATATTCAATAATATGCAGCTTATATAAAGCTTATATAAAGAAAACGTGTGTGTTCATGATGGTCATTGTCTATTTTTCTGGCAAACCTGATAAAAACAGTTTAAAAATAAAATCATAGAGTTCTTCATTTTACGAACATTGTGTCAACGAAGTCATTATTATTTTCTATTTTTTTGTTTTATCTTTAAAAAGCTAATTATTGAACATGATTGTGTATGAACCAACTTTTCTTTCTAAAAGACCTCAAGTCAAATACGAAATAGTTAAGAAAACCGAGTTTTTCCTCAAAAATGAGAAAAAGTGAGAAGTTTCGAAATGAGCGGAGAAAAATGAGATCGCTCCCTGTTTAAGTAATCAAATATTTGTATAAGTAATTTCTTAATTCCTCCAGGGACATGTTACCTCGCCTCAAAATCGGCATATTGATCCTCGGTCAGATTCTTCTTGGCCACAACCAGTGTCCTGAGACCTTCACGCGCCATGTTTCCGCATACCTCCTCCAGCCAGTCATTGTACTGTACAATACCGGACATCACGACGTCAGCACCTTTCAGGTAAAACACGATGTCAGAGCTGGACTCTTCCCTCACGATTATTCCCATCCGCTTGGTCTCCGACGTGAAGGGAAATATCTGCAGTATGGTGTAATTCAGTATTTGACCGTTCAAAGCCTTCAACTGCATCGTAGTAAGGTCACGCTTGACCAGAGCCAATCCCATTTCCTCCGTCCATTTCACCAGGGCCACTTCGTCCGGGCTGGAAGCCTGGTAATTACGCTTCTGCTCCGGCAAGTAGTAATGTTGGTCGGCTTCGGTTTGGCTGAAACGTTAAAAATCCAAGCTGACGACAATGGTTCCCGTCTTCGCATTGGATCAAGCGAGAAATCGCCCATACCTTTGAATGGAGCCCGTGTCTCCGGTCTCTCCCGTTTGTACGCTCACCGTGTCCAGATTCGTGGACCTCGTTACATCGTCATAAACCGGGGTTACGTTATGGCACAGCGCCAGAGCGTGCACGGCGTCGTAGATCCGGGTGTTCTCGGACCTCCGCACCTTGCCGCTGTGCGCGCTCGGTGCCTGTTTCACGGGCGAGTTTTCCGAGTTGATCGAGTAATAAGACCTCAACACCGTCGTTACCTCGTCGAACGTCTCTTGGCCGTAAGATATAGTGCCCAGGTGGAGCTTCTTGAACACCATCTTGTTCTGCGTCAGCGTGCCGGTCTTGTCGCTCAGCAGGTACGATATACGTCCGAGCTCCTCCGGGATAGTGGTCGTCCTCACGACCGTACCAGCGATATCCTTGTCTCTCTGTATGCACCAAGCGTAGAACGCCTTGCCCATGTCCAGGTTTACTCTCAAGCTGATGGGTATGATGTACGAAAATAATAGGACGAAACGGAACATGTAACGGTACCACGGGCCGCTGAATCCCTTCAGACACATCATTACGAGCGCGAGTCCTATCACAGCGCAAAACAGTACCTGCGTGGAGATACAACGTAACGTATCAACATTCCTATACAGACATGATATTCGTGGTTTTGCTCGACTTGTTTTCCGCTTTGGAAGGTTTAGCTAGTCCCGGGTATTCCCACGGGAAACAAAAAAGTTTCTCCAAGAAAGAGGAGCGCCTGAAGCTTAAGTTGTTCCTCTTTCCTGAAGAAGTGCGTTAAAATACTCGCGAAACATCGGAAACAAATCCGCGAAGGACATGGCATCAAACTGGAAGCCAAGTCGAGCAATCGTACACACATACATATCGACATATCGTGACGCGCAATTTCTGCATATATGCACAATACCTTCGTCAATTGATTGATCTCTTGGTCGAGTAAACCGACTTTTGATCTAATTGCAGAATGATTCATTAGAGAGCGTGTCTCCTGACCGGTGTAAACGACGATACCGAGAGCAGATCCTGATGCCACAGCGGTGTTGGCCCACAGAGTATTGTCCACACCCAAGCTTTCTTCGCTGCTGTATCCATCGTACTGGGAGTAACACGGTTGTGTAAAATAATCTGACAAATTTAGAGTAATACAACAAGATCTATTGAGACAAGGTGTTACTCACCCTCGAAAAAGTGCCGATGAAACTGTGGATATCCTTCTGAGGCTTTTCGACGTACAAACTGGCCTTAATATCAAACAACTGAGAATTGCTTTCCAATTTTTGCGTTGCAGGCACCGCTAGTCTCAGTTTCCAATCTGTCTCGCCATCCAACTGATCGGTACGCACGAAACACGCACCCGACTTCTCAGTTGTGCGTAATAACACCAGATCAGCAGGTACTCTTTGACCTTTCTCGACTATCACCTTGTGGAGAAGTAATTGTTTACGCTTCACGTGCTTCAAATTTTGCCGTTAGATTAATGAGAGAGAGGTAACGGTAATAAAAACTTACCAAGTCACCAACTCGCAATTTCGAACTTGGTACTAATTCTGGCGTATCAAAACCCTTGACTAGTCTACAGTATTTTTGTGCATTGACTTCCTTATCTCTCTTATACCTTCTAAAATCATCGATAGCTTCGCGGAAAATCGTTACGGTTAAAACAAAACACAATGGTCCCCAATATGTATACAAATACCCTATTCTTATGTCTGGTATAAATTGAGATATAGCCATAAGCAGAAAGTATAGATTCAAGAAGAATTTGAATTGCTGAAAGAGGACCTGTAAAATAATAACAAATTTGTATCGTTAATTATATCACAATTATATCACACTGCTGCGTTAACTTCGAAGAGAGATATTAAAGCTGTTATTCACAGTCAGACCGCCTTAAGTTCATCTTGAGATGCTTTATAGCTGATGAAGTGAGCCGTACATCTGAAGACGCACTTGAGGTAATCTTAAATATGAGATCTGGATGTGAATATCAGCCTGCGACATTGTCCAACTTAGCCAAGGGAAAACATACCAGAGGCAAGAAAGTAACAACATTGTATTTTTGATTTCTTATAACATTGGTGGGAAACTTTTCATGCATAGGCTGTCCGATGTGGATAACTCTGGCTCTTAATTCCCGTTCTCTGCAGCATCTTCTCCACATCCAAGTACAACATCTGCAACCGTGAGAAACAAACCTAATCTGACAAAGTTGCACCTAACAAAGCGAACAAATTAGAAAACTGACCCTCTTATTACAGTATCACTCGTCTTTGTCTAGGATACCATTGTGTCATATTATTTACAAAATTAACAATACCTGACAAAGTATTATATCCCAGGTTGAAACTTAATTAATTAATGTTTGCAAATCGACTTAATAATAAACGTCAGCACAATAATTCGTTTTTATCATTGAAGTATATCGAACGTAAACAAATGTACAATCAGAGGTACATCGATCGTATATCTCAGGAACGAAGTGAGAATTACAAGAGTGAGCAAATTCACTAGGTTGACCAGCGAAATTATAAATATTCCAACAAATTCGCCCACACCACACTTTTATAATTTTCACTTCCTTTCGAGATACACAATCGACTCCCGGATCAACCATCGTCCGTCGCGCGACGCATCGATCGGACGAAACGTCATTCGCGCATCCGTCGAGAAACACCTAATCGGGGAAACTTATGATCGCACACGGAACATCCGATTTGAAGAATTCGCGTCGTCGGGAAGGGCGGCGCGAAGTCGCGTATAAAAGTCGGAATCCTCGGGCGAGACGAGATGTGTACGTCACCTCGACCAAGAGCTGTAGTTCCGCGGCTTGGATATCAACGGGATGTCCTCCTTGGACAGCCTAATAACGTTGCTCTGCGTCTCCATGTAGGTTATTTCCTCGTTAGAGGCCGCATAAAGGATCTCCGTCGTGATTCTGTTCGCGATTCCTCGCGGTCCGAACAAGAAACAACCACGTCTGCAAGGTTCTTATCGAGCTATATCGAGACCAACAAATATTATGACATCACAGGTCGCGATCGTGGAATATGTGACTCCAAGCACGTCAACCGCGCTGACATCGTGCGATTGGCGCGCTCAAGCCACAGAAGCCGCTCAGGATTGGTCGTACTTGGTCAATCCGGCAGCACGAGGCCAATAGGCGCTATCGCATCTAATCTCACGAAATGTCAAACTACTTTCTGGCGCGTAAACAAAGAGATTTGAATAATGTCGAGAAGAAATTGACCTCTTTGTACGAATATCTCGCGGGAATCTTCTTCCGAGGCAGGAGATGACCGATCTCGAAGAAATTCTCAGTGAATTGTTGACACTCGCCATTCGTGTACGTGTAGAATTTTACCATTGGCTGCTTAGAAACGCAGTTCGGAAAGAATTATTATTCCGGCGCACGAGTTACGATTAAACTTATAAAAAGGCAATCCACCGTGTTCGATAGATAAAAAAAAACAATATTACCTCGTCCCTCTTAATCTTATTGATGAATAACACATGAATATTAATGAACAAAGACGCAGTTAATATCGACGAAGAACAAAGAGAGAATTAAGGGGTCGGCGATTAATCTCTCTCTCTCTCTCTCCAATGTGAATTTGTGAAAAGTGAAGATCCTGTAACCTGAAAGCATTCGGAAATGTGTCCACTTTTCACGAGTCCACCGGAGGAAAAGACTGACACGGTCGCCTGCTAGATCTTTCCGGAAGATCGACGTATATGTACAAAATTCGTCGCAGTCGTAATAGAGTCGAGATAGGGGGTCAAACGGGGTCGAGCTATTACTATTTCGAGCGCGCGTAACGCGACTTTCGATCGACCGCATTAGAATCACGCCGGATCGAGTTTCGTCGTCTCCGCAGGTGCAACTAACGACACCGATAAGGAAGTCCCGTTCTCCGTCAGACAGATAATTAGTCCGATAAGACCGATTTCCAGGAAGCCTCGTCGAATAGCAGCAGCGGCACGAGCCCAGAGTTCGGGGACACCCTGTAGAGACAGATGACTGCGGTGACGCGACTCACCCGCAGAGGCAATTCCTCAGGTACTTGGAGCAATCGCTAATGCGCCGTCGCCTCGACGTCAGGAGCCGGATGCTGTCCTCGGAGGGCTGCAGAAGGTAGTCGGTCTCTTCGTCGTCCATTTCAAAATCCCGCTCGTCCGAGTTGAGCCGTAACGGCATCTCCTCCAGCCTCATCTTGAGAAGCCCCGTCTCTCCCGCGTCTCTCACTCCCCCGGTCACCCGGCCGCACTTATCTACCCCTCCGAGACGAACCGATCTCCTCCTCACTCTCCTCGGGATCCTCGCGCGACTTGGCCGCGCGCGACCGCGGCTCAGACGCGGTTAACTGATGCGGGTTAATCGATGTGATAGCTTTAATCGCCGTCTCGCGCGTCGTTGCGACGGCACGACGTCCCCGGCGCATATCTTATCGGAAACCGCGCGACGATTCGGCCGGCCGAGCGCGAAACGATCGTTCGAGAAGATGCACCTCGACCGTCGTCCACTTTATCTCTCTCTCTCTTTCTCTCTCTCTTGCTTTGTTGTCGTCGAGCAGTCGGAGCGATCCGCAGCTGACCCGACCGAGCGGAGGCTCCTCGTTTGTCGTCACGCGACGACGACGACGTCAAGTGCCCCTCGGCTTGTTTACACGCGAGCACGCACACACGCATCAACACCGTACGTACGTGTGCATCATGGCGGTTTCGCGCGCGGTAAACGGTGAGACGACGAGGAAAGTAGGAGATTATTATCGTCAGTCATTCCTGCGGCATCGGACGTGTTCTAAGACATGCGAAAGGTCGGGAACGGGTTAACGAGAGTCCCGGCAGTGGCGCGTTAACACGCGAGGATCACACAGCCGCCACGCGACGAAGCGCCGCGTGCGCCATGTTGCTCGTTAGGCTGTCACGTGACCGCGCCGTCTGCTAGAACCGACCCATCTGGCGGGCTGATTCGAATCGGCGAGCTTGAAGACCAGTCACTCACCGTCTCGGATTAACTTAATCGACCGATTAAGTGTCAACCGTGATTGGTAAATTCTGCTTAACGACAAATGCGATTGATCAGTTCCGCTGGAACAATCGGTCTATTAAGTTAATAGGAAATGGTGAGCCGGCCCTGAATCAGCCAATTGTAGTCGATGATCAACAAGGTACCGTAAACCGAGGATATATGGGCTAAAATGAGAGTTTCGGGCTAATTCTCACTCTGAAGAAGTTAACTGAAGTGTTCATGAAGCATCGGATAGAAATCCTCGGAAAACACGGCGCCAACTTGGAAGCTACATCGAATATCGAGTAAAATACCATAACGGATCATAAATTTATTTAAATTTCCCGCCATATTCTTCTAAGTTGGTCTATTTTTTGTCCGTTTGAAAATTTCTGTAGACTGGCAACTTGACAAAAATACCAATCTATAAGAATGTGGCGAAAAATTTAAATAAATGTATTTTGGTTCATATTACTCCAATGATTCTATACATCCCCGGTATTATTATTAACCCTTTGCGGTCGCGTATCAGCTGCTATACTTTTCTTCTAATCGTATGTCGGTCTGAGTATGTAGATCGATGTGATAGCTTTAACATGCAAAATATAACAGAATTATTAGTTAAATTTAAATCTTCTGATATCTCGTAGCTAACAAGCTTGTACGTTTTAGCCGAACTAGATTTCACTTTTTGTCTTTAGAGTGAATCAAATGTATAATCCAACGTTGAAGGGAGAAGAGACGAAGTTCCAGTGCAGCACTAACTCAGCTAAAACGAACAGATCCAGTGAAGCGATCCATACGGTATCTGAAGATGAACTTAAGAGGGTCTTAAATATAAAATCTGACTATGAATAACGATTTGAAGAGACCTAAGAATATCCGTCCAGTAGAGTATCCATGACTGAGGCAAATACGACCACAACGAGTCAAATATCCTAATCTCCAGGTAAATCTTCGTGATTCTCAGGAAGCTTTGGACATAATGAATGAACAAAGGGCGTAGATGTTATTGACACTTACGATTTATTTCGTTATTATTCGTTTCATTTCGCGGAGGATATTTCCTTGACACGTTAATCGAGCTCGATTCGGTATTTCACGGCTAACGACGCGACCGCGTCTCCCAACGATTTATCCTGCGACTTTCCTTTGAGTCGCAATTGTTGAAAGAGTTGCTTGCACGTAGCCTGCTCGTTCTTTGTCATGAAACATACGGCCAGATCGAATCTGCCACATGTGCTCAGTATACTAAGAAGTTCTGCAATCTGTGTTACATCGTCCACCTTTGATACATAATGCAAACACGTATTCATGAAGTCACCGAGGAAGAATGTAGGTATTTCCACTCGAAAAATACGAGTCTGTAGAACGTGCCTGTTACATAATAGCAAGTTATTAACACCCAGCTAAAGCGGAAGATCACGTCAGAATGATGAGAATATGACTGTAAAAACTCACTTTTCAATCGTCATTCGATCACTTTGTCGTAACCTTGTCATTTGGCATCATTTTGACGTCATCGTAATTTCCTACCCTGCCTGGACATCGATTCTTAAGAATTACGCATATCTCGATTGTTACCTCAAATACCACACGTAAGTAAATCTCTCGGAATAGTCCTCGGTCGTTTTCCAACATCGCAAAAAGTCCTCGCACGCTTCCAAAGGTTTCGCCTTAATATTTCGCTCATCCTCCCGGACGCGTTGTGATTTCTTTGAAGTTGCAGACACAATTGGATATCCGATGCTGTCGGTCACTGGATTCCACTGCACGCCGATCTTAGGTTTCATGTCATTACGATCTAGGGGTTTCAAATGAGCAGCATTGACCTACGAAATATTATCTCATAAGATTTCACCGGAAGATGTGAGTTAAGATTCATAAAAGACGAAAGAACGAGACGTCTTCTTTCCTTTCTTTTTTTTCATGTGTCTTCTTGCTAAACATTTATTTGGAAAATAATTCGGATCAATTACCATTTGTCTGAAGTGCTCGTACGTCGGTACACCTTGTTCAACCGCTCGAAGTTTCGCGTCGTTCTGTAATTTGTATAATTCGTCGGCCGCGAGAGCCGCGTGAAGCTCTTCTTCTAAACTCCTGTAGTCTATCGGAGCCCACAACACGCTCATCGCTTTACTGCATGTGTCCTTCCCTCCTCGGCTGAGTCCTATTTTCGAGCTTTCACAATAGTCCGACATGACGGACAAAACTGTTTGTTGCTATGGAAACTCTAGTATTGGCTCGATGCTTTATCGATCGGAAATGTTTTTATTCTCCGTTTTATCGGAATTTTTTTTATCTATCGGCGACTCGTACAGAATTATCCAATTTCGGCATTTGACAGTCGAAGAGTGAACACGTAAAAAACAACTTTTTGTAGAAATAAAGTAACACAAACGCGCATCAATGTTGGCAAATGTTTATTGATTATTTAATTTCTGGTAATAACAGCTTCCGTTTCGGCTAGAACCTTCTCCTTCGACATTTTTGCTTGCCTTTTCTTCAGCAGTCTGTCGTGGGTTCTCTTCATCTCGAGTATCTCCTTCATTTCCTCCTTGTCTTCCTCCTGAAATCGATACCGCCGTCATGAATAATTTATCGTACAGCTCCGTGACTCATTTATTACCATTTATATTTATTTATTATTATATAAATGACAGAGATCACTCGAAAGTGGAGACTTGAAGTTTTAACACCCTTCCCTTTAGATCTGAATCTCGATAACTTTTGACGAAGTTACAAACCGCTGCTCGAATCTCGCCTATTTCTCGAAGAAGTGTCAAATAATCCACTTCTAATTGTTATGCGTTCGGTGTGTATCGTGATTTTCATACATACACTTTGATTCAGCCGTAAGACCAACGCTCGACGATCGCCGGACATAGGTTGAGAGTAGTCCATCAGCTTCTTCAGCCTCTCGGCGGGGCTGACTCCTCTCTCCACGACCAGAACTATACGCGCCCACTGAAACGGAGGCGCGTAACTGAATTACGCGAATAACACGAATTCAGCAATTAAGCAGCGAGGTGGTCGCGTTCCACTTGAGCGGGCTAATTAACAACCTACTTGTCTTTGCCATTCATTTCTGGTCTCGGCGATCTTCTGGTAAGTGTTGCCCATCATAGCAATTAGCATGTTTACGAGCAGGATCGCCACGATCGCCATATATAACACGAACAGCAGCTGCAACGGTAATAATTATTATTGTAATGATATATGAGCGACGTCAAACGCACTTGACGCAGTCTTTCGCAGGACCAACGCGAGTGAATCATTCGTACGTTTGTGTAAATTAGTTAAGCATTCAGTCGTTGAAATGTGCGTCCCATTGAGCGATGCATCGCGGTTAGCGTCGCAGCTAAGATTGATACGATAAACGAGGCTGATCGGCGACATCGTGTAGTGATTAGAATCGACAGCGGATACGCGAGCGTAAGAAGGGCAAAATTACCTTAGCCTCGAACTCGTGCTCGGTGCTCTCGAACGCGCCGTAATAATCGCCGAAGTTCGTCATGCTCATCAGGAACATCGCCATCACGCTCTCCATCGGCGATGGCATCGGGTTCGACACCGAATCGTCAACGCCTTCCGGGGTATTCGGGTTGTCGAACGACAGGAATATGATGTAATATGCTACGAACGAATGTAACATCAGTCGAGTCGAAATATACAGGCAGAATTGTATACAGTGAGAATTTTATTATACATTGAAGTACTGAAATTGTATCGAAAACATTCTCATCGAATTATTATATATAACAGAATTGAAATAATCCCAGATAACCCTTGGAGTTCAATGTTTCTTGATTGAATATTTGATTGATTATTTGGAGAGGGAATTGAATATTTTGAGAGGAAAAAAATGTAAAAAATAAACATTTTTTATTTATTACACATATATTAGTACAAGTAAATATGTTATTAATACTAAATAACAAATAAATGTTTTTTTTTATTTCTTCGATATTTTTCCCTCAGTGCATCATCAGCATTGCCTGTAGCCCAGTGTCGGGTCTGCATCGAAGCCCACACTAGGCCAGAGTTTGGTCTGTCTCGTGCTGGTGTTTTACAATAGCCCGTCATATAACCCGACCATTAACCAATACCGAGACAAGATTATACCTGCTGACTCTCGGCGGTCGATAGCAGGCCAATGTTGCGCGCGTTAAACAATATCGGTAATTTCTATGCGGGAAGGCCTTCCAATCGACAGGTAGTTCATGAACGAACAGACGTCCCATTCAAGTCGTCGTCGTCATCGGTGACACCGACGACGGCGAAAAGCGAGACGCACACGATGTAATTGCTGGGCTTGCATAACAACGGCGTGTTGGCGCTTATTTAACGTATCCCGTGACCTTCTCGCGCAGTCGTACGTCTCCTTCTGCGGCATTTCTCGTGGCGAGGAAACCTTCGTCGCCGCGATCTGTGTCAATGTCGGGTTGCAGTAGCGTAGTAAACCCGTCGATTAGGTCATACGGCGGCGCCGTTATTCTCGCGGCTGATTAATAATTGTTAAAGCCAATAGGCCAATAAGGCATCGACGGACCGATGATGTCCGTCGAGCGGCCATCTGTCGGGCGCCGGAATCGATGACGTTTCTCTCGTTCATTACGCGTGTCGTGCGAAACTTCGGCTATCAATGTTTATTATCGGCGACAAGGTTGCTCCGGTTGTTCTCTTAGATCCCGCTTGGGACAGGCGTTGCTTCTGACGAGGGCTTTCGGAATCACCGGTGCGAAAATCTCGGTAAAGGAACGACGGAAGCGTTAAACGGGAACGAGGCGCAGTAACTATCGGACGGGACTCGATCGGCGGCGATTAAACGCCACCGCGCGAAATTCACGGCGGGTGTTACCTTGAGAGAAGCCCATGACGAAGACGAGGTAAATGGAGACGAAACGGAGGAGATCGCCCGTGATCATCCTGTAAATCATCACGACGAAGGGCCCGACCGTTTTGAAGCCCCTGCAGAAGAACAAAAAGTACGGCGCCGTCGTCAGCATCACCACGACCGCCAGCATGTCTTCGACTTCGTCAGCGCAGGCTAATCTCAGAAACGGAAACGAGAGCAAGATGCAGCACGAGAAGAGAAACATGACGCGCGACGGCGCCGTCATCTGAAAGTCCATCACGTTCGCATTAGCACGTGTTACGAATTACGAGGGATTCGAAGAGCTCGGCAGAATTCACGTACACGCTTGCCTCGTGGCTCGTCTATCCATGTTTTTACAGAGAGAAACGCTATACTACTGATAGCTGGTAGCTGATCTTACTAGATTCTCGATGAACATGTTGAGACCTAAGAATCTCGCCTCCCGCAGCGCAGCTAGAATATAAAGCACCGCGCCAACCTCCATCACCACTTCCGCAGTCAGGCGAATCTTCGCGTTTATCGTTGTCAGTTGCATCAGCCTGCACTCCTCCGTAAGATCGTCCCACCTGCATTCAGCGAACGCGCACACCGTCGTGAAAAAAGAAAAGCAACGTCGCGATGGGAAGTACACCGAGAGAAAGAGGTTGACATTTTGCGAGGGAAGTGTTTCTTCTGACATATTTTCCCTCGATATTTATCGGTCAGAAGAAAGTTCGGCTGTGACGACGGAATGCGTATTTCTGCAAAATACACCTAAGTTTTCTTATATATTATTATTGGTTTGTTTGCTAGGAATCCAATTTTATTTCGCTGTATTTAAATGAACATTTATTTCTGTGAAGTGAACTTTATATTTTACAAATAAATCTTCTAGTCTTTTCCTCAGTGTATCAGTGGACATACATGTACACGGGGTGTTGTATTAATATATCGAACAGTTGCCGCTGCAAAGGCACTTATGAGAGAGTGAGACAGTGCAACCCGAGTTCACGCGGCGCGCTCTCACTCTCTCATACGTGCCTTTGCAGCGACAACCCGACATACCGTTCAGTGTGTTGACGCAACACACCGTAAACCTATCCCGAAATTTGCAAATCCGTCGGATGTTAAAGTACATCCCAAAACTTATATGGAAAAGGGAATCGTGACTCATATTTATTATTATGTGTTACCTCTTCGTGCTCGGGTTTATTTTTAAACAAACGCATGCGGTATCTCTAAAAATAAAAATGCTTTTCTCGCGCGTCCATTTAAATCATCTCAATACAGCAAATATAGCAATATAGCAAAATAATATTAAATTTCTGAAATAAAAACTGAGTTTCAAGGGATTAATAATGATATTACGTTGGCGTTAATAATATTCCTCGAGCGATACTCTTATTTATCCTTACGCCAGTTACAACGTACCAGTCGTCATCGTTGGATTTTGATAATTCGACGGTGCTGATAATTGTCTCCTCGGTCGAGTTCGCATCGTCCATAACACTTTCGTTGTATGCATACGTCAAGTAGTCCGACTCATTGTTAGGTTTACTAGTATACCACAGTGCACGAATGGTGGCCTCGTCAGGGGCACTCAGGATGGCCTCGTTGTCGCTCAGCGATAAAAGAAAAATGCTTTTCAGGGCCGACGTTATGTTTGACGTCACTTGCAGTTGGATCTTTTCTAGAGACTCCTGTGTCACGTTTAATGATGACTTGAAGTTCGAGGTAAAAGCCGCGGCGAAGCTATTCGTAACCAAGTCCGACAGGTCGGAACTTTGAAAAGATTTGAGAATTGCCAATTCTACCGACGTTATGTTCGTTGAATTCGTCTTCGTGTCATTTACGTTTTCGGTCTCCTGTGTCAACGGGCCAGGGCGAAGGGTGAAGCTAATCAGCGACAGCACGAAGTAGAAGCAGAAGAGGAAGAATTGACGGTAGAATCTAAAAATTTTCGATGTCACAATGCTCCTTTCTCAGCATATAAAATGTAATTAATTCATAATAATGCTCCGCATTTTTCATTCATCCATCCGATAAATTATCTATCCTCTGTAAATATACGAGGGTTGATCCAGAAATAAGGTTCCCATCAATTTTACAAATAGACAACGACGATGAAGTCAAAGAAGAGGTGAAACGCTTCCTCAACGGGTTGGCGGCGGAGTTCTACGACATTGGGATACAGAAATTGGAGCACCGTCTACAAAAATGCGTAGAAAAAGATGGCGATTATGTAGAAAAATAGAGCAAAGTTTCATCTTTCCAACGATGTAAATTTCTATGAGAATAAACAATGTTGTCTATTTGTAAAATTGATGGGAACCTTATTTCTGGTTCAACCCTCGTATTTATATTTTTCGTTCACAGACATACGAAATAGAGGTAGGAGATATCTTTTTGTATACACACCGAAACTTAACGAAAGTGTTCCACTTTGCGTTCAAGAGATCGACCAACGTACCTTCCAACAGCTCTAAATGCTCATCTTTGTCCTAAAATAAACACAATAATCACAATAAACTTTCTGATTATCGAATAATTAGTCGAAAGTAATCAAATGACACGGCTTGCTCACCCCAAAAACAACCAAGTTTAAGGCGGAGTTTTTGTTGATGGCCCCCGTGGTATTGTCGATCGTGTCTATTTGGGACAACGGATAAGCTGCACAAGTTATACTACCGATCTGCCAGTATATCTCTCTCTCGATGTTGAGAATGTGAAAGAACATCTCGACCCTAGCCAGCTTTGCTGCCAAAGTCAGCGGAGTCAAATGTTGGACATTTCTTATGGCCAGCGAGGATCCCACTTCGTACGCCATGTCGAATGCAGCCTGTAAAATTATATCGCATATTACGAAGAAAGCTGCAAATGTAACGCGCATTCTTAACATTGTTTATTATAACGTATACTTTGGCAAGTTTTCTAAATAAGTCTCGCGATGTTTGCTTCTCGACAGTTATCACAGATTATATATGAAAATTATTGTTTAATATCTAATAAACTATTTCTAAATTTCTTCGAGTGAGAGAATAAAAACAGAGAGAAAAGAATCACTCGAGAAGCGGAATGACAGCCGAGTCACTCGAATGATTTTTAAATTATACAGAGTGAATTCGTCGTGTGAATATTTCCACTCAAAACTGAAGATGGTATAATCTTCAATTAAGTATAAGTAAAGATCTGTGTACTTATTCTATAACTTTTAACATGTCGTCACGTAGACATATGTAAGAAAAACTGCGCGACAACAACGTAACGATAACGATCGTAATAATAACGATATTATCGTTGCACATAAGAGTTGCAAAATAAGCTTATCTTATACACCACAGAAAGTAGAAATAAGAGATTGCTGAGATGTTAAGACGTTGAAATGTAAATATCTAGGTTGGTTTTTCTATGTTAGTTGTTCATGTTGCTACGACATAAATAGTTTAGCGTATTACACGCGTATTACACTTACCATTTTCTCGTATATAACTAGCATATGCAAAACCGTGTTGCCATTCGTGTCCTGCTTGTCAGGATCCGCGCCTCTGGCGAGCATAAGCCTGTAGCACTCTTCTTGTCCCAGACACGCGGCGAAGCTCAACGGATACTCGCCCCAATATACGTATCTGCGAGTATGATTATGAAATAGATTGCGCCAGAGACTTTTATCGAATTAGCTCATATTGAACTGGATTATGTTCCTGACAGAGTAATCAACAGAATTACGGTTGACAGGGGTCATTAAGATCTCTGATGGATGAGCTCATTTACGATTAACGTCGAGAAATTAAGAGGACGCCAAAGTAGACGACGAATTCTGGTGAAAAAACGTCAATAAATAAATAAATAAATAAATATATATATATATATATATATATATTCAGAGAAAGAAAGAGAGAGAAAAAGAAAGAAATGCAACTAAAAGTGTCGATAACGTTATAATTTATTACCGACAATACCGATTTCATGAAGTTAACGAAGACTGTAAAGTAAAAAATGAATAAGTAATCAATCGCAACTATCAACCTGCGTGACTCTCATCAGTCATTTCTTACTGATTGAAGTGGAAACGCATTGTAACGTACGAAATTACCCGTTGTAATCAGTCTCCGGTGCGACGCATATCCATTCGTGGTCCACACTATCATATCTCGACGCTTTCTGGTCTTCCGGACACATGAAATTACCGAAGCATCTCTCATGAACATCCGCACCGCTGTCGAGGAGGTATTTCACCATCGCCGGATCCTCGTTAACGATCGCGATATGCAACACGTTTTCTCCTAAGTGGTAAGCGGATCGTTGCAAAGTCAAATCGAATAATCGTCGAGAGATGCATGCATATTACGCGTCTCGTGACGTCCGCAAAGATTTACCGTAATATTCGTCGCTTAGGTAAATGTCGTTTATAAGGTTCGGATAAAAGCGTAGCAATCTTTTCGCCAGATCCGCGTGGAGAGCTGTGGCGTTTAACATGCATAAGTGCAAGATAGTTTCACCGACAGCGCCTCTATCGCTCAGATTCCAGCAGACCAATCTGTACTTGCTTTTGTCTGTCAGGAAATAGCAATCTTTCATTCGTCGATTGAATTATGATATGTAATTTTATGTATAAGAATTCTTAGAAATAACTATAATTATATGAAGTAGTTGTGTGGCTAAATAATGGATTTTCGGCGGTGGCATCAAGAAGGTCTCTCGTAAATTAACTAAACATCGCGGACAAAATTATTCTTCTATAAATTTATTCTTCTATAAATTTATTTAACTATTTAAATAATAAATGTTATGTTGAAATTAGAATAAATACATGTGCAATATGACAAATATAAAAATATTACTCATTTTTTATTTTCTTGTCAATGCATTATTTATGCGTCAATTAATCTTAATAAAGATACATGTGTAACAGGAGAGATACATATATCTCGAATATTATAAATAATAAACTTTATACTGCTGTATATAGTTGTAAAACAAAACGATCGATAATTATAAAATTTGGATACAATATGTGCATACTAGTCTTTAATATCTCATTATAATTTCTCATTAAAATTCTAAATATAATTTAAAGAGGAAATTAAAAATAGAAATTAAAAATGTCACGCTAACCTCTCAAGGAGTACATATAAAGATACATATAATATATATAAAAAGTGCAAATTTTAGTTAGAAAAATCCCAATCCGTGAATAGTTAATCTTCTTTTAATCGCAATTACATAATATTTCAATTTATATAAAGTGCAAATTTCAATGAGTTTCTAAAAAAATTCATTTCAAAAATTCATTCATTCGCCGCGACATAACCACTTTAAAGAATTTTATCATGCGCTACCTATTTTAGTTTCGTCAACGTCTTCGTCACCCATATCCTTATCTATGTCGTAATCCGCCGGATTTTCCATGGCTTTTAACTGTGGCAGCTGTGTACAACGTGAGAAAAACTCTTTTAAAACGCTGATATTGAGATCAGTATGAGCGAAGAGCCGATCGTGTACCATTTTGTGTCGCGGGCGATCTTTATTTCGTAGGAGAACCAGTTTCTCTATTGGTATCCACTTGCCCTTTCCTTTATTATACAAGTAAGGCTCAACCTTTGTTCTCACCGCGTGATCCAACTCCGCGAACTGCTTCGTTTGCGTGGCTCTTTTCATCATGTCTACGAATAAACCACCGCCTGTAACGGCGTAGTAAATGAATAGCAATAATTTATGTCTCATTAACATCTCATTATCATGGAGAAGCTAATAGAGCACGCAATAGCAGAATGCAGGAAAAAGTTGCAATATCTTAAAAAAGAGAAAGAAGGAACTTAAAAGTCCGATATGTAACATTCTGTTAATTTCTCAAATTATAGGACGTATCTTTAAAAATATTTAAACTAATCTCTCTTATCTATGTCGTTTAATAGAACGTTTTTGAAGCTATATTTTTGGAGCTAATTATCCAATGATTTGAAAGTTTACTTAACTTAAAAAAAATTGAATTTTCATCCATTCTCTCATTTTTTATAATAAATTCTTTAATTTTTTTCTATTGGATTCACGTTTTCACCCGTGAAATAATCACGTGAGGTTATTTAGACCCCCCCCCCAATTAAAAGTCACTATTATTAACAAAATATAGCATATTATCGATTCCCCTATAATTTATCATTATTTAAATGCATTGTAAATATAGATTTGCACGTTACTTTTTGACAAAAATCAGGAGACCGTCAAACAAATATTTAAGAAACGGAATAAGCACATCGAGTGCTTCGTGATTATTTGTGTAAAAAAAAACGGTAAGTTTACTATTCCCAGGTTAAACGAAACACTATAAAACACCATTACTTGATATTCTCCCGTTAAAGTAATGTCAAGTGTTCGAAACGAGAAACGGGGGACTCAATCGGGTGGATAGAAAATTAATGAACTTGACATGAGCGAGAAGAGAGCCTCCGCTTGAAGATCGGGCGAATTCCCAAAGTCAAGCGTCACACGACGTAGGAGCCCGAGACGACGAGGATTCGCGCGAGCGTCGTCGCGCGCGCGTGGTGGTATTAAAATTAAATCGCGAACGCGCGGCACGTGGACCCGTTGCGTCATTCGCGACTGCAAGTATTTGGATCGTCGAGTGCTCGGCCCGCCGTTAGCACTTCAATCACACTCCGGAATCCTAGATTGTGACTCACGGACAATAATACGGCCCGGCGGCGGAGGAGGCAACACCCCATCCCCACGATGGATCGCAGGGTTCTGCCCCCGGTCCGTTCGATTAACGTTCATTTTGCGTGATGCGCGGACGCGCAACACATCCCGTGACGGCATTCCTATTTTCGCATTCGATCGAAAAGTGCACTCGCCCGACTAAAAACAACCAGCGCGGTGTTACACCGCGCGGTCACGTTGCGACGTAAGCCGCCAATTAGACGTAACGTGACAACAACCCATGATGTCGTGATGTCAGAGCGCGCAGATGTTTTACGAGATAAAGGAGTCTGACGAGAAGACGCCGAAAATCGCGCCGGCGGCGCCTGCCCGACGTGTTTGCTCCAATTTTTTTTTTTCCTTCTCCTCTCGTCTCTTCCTTCCCGCGCAATTACGCCGTTGCGCAATCGGTTATCGTCGCGATGATGGTCTATTCGGCTGATTATGATTCTCATTGATACACACTGTACAACAGCCAGCGCTGTACGTACGCTGCATCATTACCGACGTAGAGAAAGGGATTTCTTTGGATTTAATGAGGTTTCTTCGATTGAAACTAATTTGTCTTTTGGCGAACAGACGAATGTTTGCTTCGACAAACAGAATTGCTTGCTTACCTTTAGCAATAAATATCCTTGCGTCAGATAACATTTTTTTTTGTATTTTCATTCCAATATTATAATGATTGTCACAAGCAATGAATTATTCAGAATTAACCACGTTAGAAAAATACTTAAAGAACTTCTTTCGTTGAAACAAACGAAACAATATTTAATAAGAAGATAATAATAACAAGGAGATACATTGTTTTTTTACAATATTTAGTAAGGAACAATATTTAATAAGGAGATAATAATAACAAGGAGATACATTGTTTTTTTATTGAAAACGAAATATTATTTTCTTTAAATAGTACTGTTCTTCTTTTTTTTCTTATCGAACAACAGTTATTTATTCTAATGAGACATTTTCGTTCAAACAAAATGATATTATTTGATATTAAATTGTGTTGTTTATATTAAACAAGCCCAAGTTAAATAAACACGTGTACTAAATATAAAGATACTTTTTTCTCTGTGTACATCAAAAGTTGGATAATTTTTAGCCTTGCTATATACACATGAAGTCAACATCGTTATAATGAGAATTATTCTAACTCTATTAACATTATAAGAGTTAAATAAAAGAATTATTTATGACGTTAATCATATCAGTTACGTACAAGACAGGAAATCGTATAATTTTCTTTGGAGAAAATAATACAATATATATAACGCCGACTGTATATCTTTGAATAAAATTGTATTTAATTAATTAGATGTGAGAAACTGGCTCGTGGGTTTTTAATTGATCAATATTTATCGTCCATTATTTAATTCACTGCAGACATTTAATTCATGCGACACGTTTCACATTGTAGAACCCCCTACTGTTTTGCAGTTCGGAAAATCGTGATTCTTCCTCATTAACCGATGAGAACTGAATGCTAAATCGTGTCAAGTTCAATCGGAATCTGAACTGAGTTAAGTGTACTTTTGATTTGGAAGTTGAGGAATCGTTTACTCCCAAAAAATGCTTCATTCGCGGTCTTTTGCATTACAATTTTTCGAAACTGCCATATAATCGGCGAAGAAAAAAAAAAATATATATATATATAAATCGCACCTTGGAAAAATATTTTCCTATATAATCTGTATCCAGAAAAAAAAAGAAAATAGAAAAAAAGAAGAGAAAATGAAAAAGTAAACAAATAAAAACGTCAAACGTGAGTTTTTTATCTGCGAGGATTCACGCTTCGGCGTTAACCTAATTTATGGCGTCCGTGCTCGACGGCAAGCGACGAATTATTAGCTGTAACTTCGATCCGAGTGGCACGTTGCGGTGCCCACAACGCCATCTTGCACTCTCTTGTGCAAATGTTGGGACAATCGCTGGCGCAAGTCTGCAGGCAGCGGCCGTAGCGTAGCGTCAGTAGCTAGACGTGGCACAGTGCGGCTCGACGCAGGTCATGGCGCAGTGGAAGCAGGAGTCAATATTGAGCCTCATCAACGCGTACCGCTCGCGAAGATTTCTCTGGGATCACACCGCGGCCGAGTACACTGACCGGATAAAAAGGATCGACGCGTGGAAGGATATTGCCGATGAGGTGAGAGACCAGATGATTCTCACTTTTATAAACATAGCGACTCGCCGGGGGAGCTGCGCATGTTTGTACTTGTTTCATTTCTATTAATCTGTGAATAATAATGATAATGCTGATAATGATAATAATAGTAATGACAACAGCTTTATTGAATACGCGTGTGTGAAGGCGATGTTACATGACGCACACATTGTACTGAAAGAACGGGACGCGAAAGACGAGATGACAGCGTTGCTATACCTGCCTTACTTGGCGCGAATACGGTTGGGACAGACGATACGTCGGGACGGGATCGAGAAGTAACGGGTTACCTGCGGTGGTAACCGCAATCGTTACTTTGATCGTTATCTTTGCGCGTGTAAAATATATGCACGTGACAGATAGACGACGGCAGATCGTTGAAAGAAAAGGAAAGGGAATTATTTAAATTTCTTTAGCGAAAGAAGTGGCAGGAATTATGGCGGTTCGTTATTTCTTGAATAATAATGACGTTAGTTACTGTTTCCGATCGGTAACGATTACAAGTCACTTTGTCGGAAAGTTGAAGCTTACTTATCGAGTTAATTTTGCGAAAACTTGGAAAAAGTCACTTCTTACTAATATAGGAGAACGGTGATTTTTCAAATTGATTTACTGTCTAATCGAGTTACCGTGATAACGAATCGATGATTCGGCTACGAAAGAAGAAATAATTTCCCTTCTCCCTTCTTTTCGTCTTTGTACTTCACTCGCGACGCGATCTATATAGTTTGGACGCGCCATGCCAGAGATATTTGGCCGCAGCGAAAAATACTCGCGCGTCTTCTGAATATATTCCAGACGAAGTGCGACGGTACGTCCAACATTTGCGCAAGTTCTTGCGCAATGACGTAAACCAAGCGCGCGCGGAAGCGATTATCGCGGTTTAGAAGCGAAGTAATCTTATTTCACAGGCGTGCGCGCACGCGCGAGAATCTTATTATTAATTTGTCCACGTCAGCCGCACGTGTTGTTATATTTTACCCGCGTGATGATCGAAATATAATTCGTTCTCATCGAGATGCGTCTTGTATTTCTTCCTTTTGCTTTGCGATCGAAGAAGGGAAACGCAAACGCCTTATCGCGATGTGGCATATGTTGCATTCAGATCGGCTTTGACGTGATGACGGTGGAGAGAAAACTGAAGAGCCTGAAAACTCATTTCATGTCGGTTCACAAAGCGTACTTGAAGAGGCGGCTCAAGGGCGAATTGAACTCTGGCAGTGTCGTCAAGCCCAAGTGGTTCGCTTACGAGGCCTTGACTTTTCTGATTAAAGGACGCGCGCCGCGAGTTAACCGCGAGCAACCGATTGTGGAGAAGCAGGTGCGCTCAATTCTAACAAAGATACTGCTGTTAGCAAGCCCCTGTCGCTTGCATCACTTTGTGTACATCGATGTACATTGTAGTCGGTATATATAATTGCCCACACAGCGGAAATATCCTAAATACGTCAGAAATATCTTAGAGATGTCGCGATATCTTTATAAGGATATCCTTACGTTGCATTTGGGACATTTCTGCTCGGTGAGTACGATTAAATCTGACATGGGAGAAAAGAATTTTGCAATAGTAATACATGGGCATCTGACGATTCAAGGTATAACTTCGTGTGTAAGTAGAACAGTTTAAGCTCAACAGGAAAAGTCATGTGCCGTTTTGTAAATTTCGCAATAGTTATTGTGGAGTTAATTAAACGATATAAAGAACGCATATAGAAAGCGATAAGACGGACTCTGTGGGAATTTCTTAAGACTGTCTAAAGGCTTCCAGTTTATAAGGAAGATATCTCACCTCTTAGGATTTCCCAGCAACGTTGAAAATGACAACTGATAGCGAGAGGGGTATTTGATTTTGGCACACGGCCCTGTGTCATATGTCATTTTTTACTACATTGTTTCGTTTCTCGCTATCAGCTGATATCCGTCCTACTGAGTAAATACTCAGTTGCTAAACTTTAAGTAGCAAAACATCTTTGTTACAAAATAGAAGCCATCTGTCTTTAGATATGCCTACACTTTTCGAGAAACTTCGTAATTTAGTTGCGAAGTTTTTTTTTCTACATAACCAAGTTGAATGAAAATCAATTAAAACCAAATTGATATTATATTTAACGTATAGTTATGAAAAGACTTTCTGAATTCATGAAGCTGTAGTGGATAATACCAGCGTTGGACCGTCAAACAGATTAGCTTTCCTTCCGGTGAATATTCGATTTCGGATGTGTGTTTTGGCACTTCATCTTTATCCAACTATTGTGCCGAGTGCTTGCGATTGTCGAGAAGAATCCATTTTTCTCACGTTACAATACGATATGTAGAAATGATTCGTCTTCACGCCTTATGAAAGGCAAGTTTCGGGACGATTTCTCTTTTGATGCTTGTTTCGTTTATGCGGAACCTATCTATCCAGTTTTTTTTACTATTTATTTCAAACGGTTCAATATTGTTGGAATAGCAACACCAAACTTGGCTGCTAATTCACGCATAGTTTGAAATGTATCCGCTTCCATCATAGCTTTCAGCTTATCATTATTTACCTTGGTTCCAAGTCGCTCACGTGACTTATTTTCAAGATTAAAATCGTCAGAACGGAACTTCTCGAACCACCGACGTACTGTGCGTTCATTAGCCACGTCAAACACGTCGTTGATATTTCAAGCTGTCTGCGCTGCATTGGTTCCACGACGGAACTCGTATTCGAAAATAACATGAATTTTTTACTTATCCGTGCTTTCACAAAAATTGATCTGAAAAAGACAATCCGAAAGATAATCACAAACCAAAACTTTGAAATAATGATGGTGTGTACCTTCACAATAAAAAAGAAAACGAAGAACTGTCAGAGTGAAATATCAGAGATATCGA